CCTTCAATCCTTGGGGCGTCTGCACCACTGCTCCCACCTCCCAGTAAAGATGGTCTCTCCCTCCTGTGGTCTCAGAGAGCCCACACAGTACCAGGGTTAGGAACTACCTTGCCTGGCCTGGCCTAGGCCCCTGTCGGTCTCTGCCATCGAGATTCTACAGGGAGGGGTGAGCGCTGATGGCCCAGCAGAGCTCCCTGCCCAACCTTGCGGGGCTCAGGAGGAACTAGGCAATCAATGTTTGCTGAATGAGTGAGGCATGTGTGTGCACAGGACCAAGGGCCTGGGCAGCCTGCAGTCCCCAACAAGTGGAGCTGGAGTGGGGGCCTGGCTGGGACCTGCCCAAGTCCAAGGCCAGCGGTCAGTCTGGGCCAGCCTCTCCTGTGTGCGGCACCCGAGCCCTGCCCCCTGGGGTAGTTGTGCTGCTCCCCTGTAATCAGGGACAGCGGCAGCTTCCTCTCCCCGAGACAGTAAGATGGGTTACTATGGAGACCAGTTTTCTGGCAGCTGTCACTCATGGGGTGGGAGGGAGGGAGACACAGAAGCAGAGAGATTGCAAATCAGGAAGAGAAAGACATATGAGAGTGAAACAGAGATAAGCAAAGAGAGGCACAGAGAGCAGCAGAGAGAGAACCAGAGACAGGAAAGAAAAAGATAAGGAGAGAGACAGAGATATGGTGGGAGAGGGAGCAAGAGAGAGGATACAGAGATGGAGACATGCAAACCCCAGCTCTCCAATCCCTGACCCACACTGGCGGCCTGAAAACAGGCTCCCAGCCCATATTGGCTTCACCAGGCTCTTACACATTTCAAGCTCCAGGGGTCCTAACAGCCCTGTCCCACACACCATCCCCCGGCTGGCTGTTCTCCCTCAGCCCCCAATCCACCTGAGATGGGGAGGAGGGACAAAAGTCTCCAAGAATTTTTGAATCCCTCTGGGGACAGCCAAGCATCCCCCTCCATGGGCACACCTCTGCCACACAGTCCAGCCCCTGCAGACACCAGGCCCCAACCTGCACGCCCACAGGCCCGCCTGTTACAGTCAAGCACACATACTTGAACATACATGCCCACGCACAGGCTGGGTGCGCAGCGGTGCCCGCACCCCCACTACACCAGCCTCAGAAACACACATGCATATGTGCACATATTTGCACCTGTCTGCACACAGGTGTGCCCAAGTATGCATGCTTATATACCCAAACATACCCACTTGTCCAAACATGCAAACGTTCACACACACACGCATACACACAACCACCAAAATCAATCCAGAGCCCTTCAGGGACCCCATCCCCTCTGCGTCTGAAGATCCCCATTACTGATCTCTGAGAGGAATCAGGTATTTCAAGCTCCAGGGGCAAGTAGCTGCACCTGGCCTGTGGTCCTGTGGTCGGGAAGAGGGGACAGAGGCCCTGCTTCCTGTCTCCACGCCATTAGTGTGTGAGCAGGCAGGGCACTACTGCAGCCTTTTGTGCAGGAACCTTCCCTTCTTCCCCCATCCCTCCACCAACCCCCAGCCTGGAGGTCACGGAGAGATGACAACTACCTCCACGACTTTCGCTGTCCGCAGGCTTCACCTGGATTGGCCGTGCCATCTGTGGGAAAAGGGGGTGGGGAGAGGTCAAGGTTAGCAGCTGGCAGCGTGGGTAGAAACTTTGCCTGAGCTCTGCCAGGCAATCCTGCCTACCTCCCCAGCCTCAGCATCCCACCAACCACCCGGCAGCAACTAACACTCCACTCAGACCAAATAATACATGGTCCCACCCACAGGACTTTGCTCACGCTGTCTGGAAAACTCTTACCTAGCCTTTAAAACCCAGTAACAATATCCCTTCCGCCAGGAAGCCTTCCTGCCTCCCCAACTGCCATGAACTGTTTACAAAGATATCCCAACTCCACCAGTCCCTGTATGTGATGTGACTTTGTGGTTCCTCTCCTTGAGAACTGGAATCTATTTTCCTTTTGTATCTGCACTTGGCCATGTGACTTGCTCTGACCAATGGAAGTGAAGTTGTGGGAGTTCCAACCTTGGCCTCAAGAGACCCTGCAGCTTCCACACTTGAGACGCTGAGATTACCGAGTCATTCCAGGTCATGCTGGGGCAAACTACGGGAGCATGGGAGCCCTCATGCACAGAGAGGCCCCACTGACACACAGCACATAGGAGTGAGGCTGTCCTGACTCCGCTTGCCCCAGTCAAGACCCAACTGATTGCAGCTGCATGACCGACCCCAGGAGAGACCAGCAGAACTCCGCAGCTGACAGGTTGGGATTACCAACCCACAGAATCATGAACAAATAAAATGATTGGGGTGGGCCATAGCTGGTTCGGCTCAGTGGATAGAGCGTCGGCCTATAGATTGAAGGGTCCAGGTTCGATTCTGTCAGGGACACATCCCTGGGTTGTGGACTCAGTCCCCAATAGGGGGCATGCTGGAGGCAGCTGATCGATAGTTCTCTCTCATCATTGATGTTTCTCTCTCTCTCTCCCTTCCTCTCTGAAATCAATAAAAATACATTTTAAAAAATGATTGGGATGGTTTGTTCTCAGAAGTAGCTGACCAGTATACCAAGACTGCTACTTTTGTCAGCTCCCCAAGCCTTGGTGGGAGCACTATCACACCTGAGTGGACCAGCCTGGATTCGTTGTTCTGGACTCTTCTATCCCCTGCCCCTGGCCCTGAAAATGATGTTCAACAGAAGAAATCCACCCCCCAGTTCCCACCCGCACACTTACCCAGGCACAGGTATGAGATAAGCTAATGTGAATATTTGACAACAGACTTGAGGGATGTAGGATGGGGGTGGCATTTACTTCTCCGCTGGTCCTAGGACAGAATCCTCCTCCCAACCTGGTATCTCTGGTGAACTCCTACTCATTCTTCAAATCCCAACTCAAAAGCCCCAAGCGGTCAATCCTTCCCCTCTCTGAGTTCCCTCCTCCTCTGCCTCAGGGCAGGACATGTCTAGTGTTGCTCTTCTTCCTCCAGACTGGGGACCACAGCATCACCCCACACAGGGCAGGGCACATGGGAGATTCAGAGGAGCCTGCTGAACTAAGCTGACCGGAAGAAAGGGGTCAACATCCACCAGCACAGAAAGACACCTGGTCCCTCCCCAGCAGGTGTGGGGGCAGCGAGTGCTGGTCCTAGGTCAGACCATCTTGGAGTAGATCCCCACCCGTCCAGAGAAGGTGCTCGATAAATGTCATGTTCTAATCATAGTGCAGCTGCCCAGCAAGCTCGAGAGAGAGGCACCGTTTCACCCCGTTATATAGATGTCAACGTCAAGGCCCAGAAAAGTTATTTACTACATCCACCAAGGTCACGGTAGGTGAGGTGAGGCACTAGGAGTCCTAGAAGTCAAATTTAGAGATCTTTCCACCCACTCCCATGAGTAGAGACCTCTCTCCAACGTTAAAACCCCTGTCTTCTTCCCTCTGAACTCCTTCCCCTTCTCTCAAGACCCTGTCCCAGCTCTGAACCCCCTCCCTCATTGATCACCCCTTTCCCCGAGTCCCCTCCCTCATTGATCACCCCTTTCCCTGAGTCCCCTCCCTCATTGATCACCCCTTTCCCTGGGTCCCCTCCCCCTGTTGACTCCCCTCCCCCCTCTAGCTTACCTCCCCTTTCTGAGTCCTTTCCTTCTCTCTGCTCCCCCCCATCTGAGCCCCTCCCACTTCGGATGCCTCCCCCTTCTCTCTGAAAGTGTGTCCCAGGCACATATGGGCCTGGCTGCCTCCATGTGAACTCAGCCTTGGGAGCTCCAGAACCAGAGAGGCCTCAGCCGCCCCAATCCAGTGTCCCCAGTTCCGGTAGCCCAATGATCTGCCACCCAGCCACACCCTCAGAGGAAAGGGGGAACAATTCTCCCTTCCCTCACCCCCCCCACAACACACACACACACACACACACACACACACACACACACACACACTGAGCCTTGGAAGCCTGAGGGGGCCGGGGAAGGGGACTGTGTGGGTCACCTGGAGGCCACAGCCCCATCAGACTCTGCCTTGCCCAGGGCGGCCCCTCAGGCCCTGTTGCTAGGCTAGCCTGTCTCCTCCTTACCCAGGGAGCCCCAGGGAGAGCCGATGTCAGCACAGCCCGAGGCAACCACGGGTCTGGTCACCTGGGTCGGCCTTGGAAAAGAGAAAAGAGACACTGGGGCCTGCCAAAGGGCAAGGCAGTCCCTGCAGTTCCCCATCAAACCCTGGGACTGGCCCAGCCCCCAGCCCCTCCCCGGCAGAGGTGCTGTCCCCCGCATGCGTGAGCACTGCACTTGGAGTCAATCAGTCCAGGCACTCTTACCCCCACGGGGCCTCGGAGCTCATGGCTTTCTCTTCCTCGGCGACATGGAGGCGTGACAGGCGAACTGTGACACTCACAGGGATGTGCAGGGACAACACACTGAGCCTTCTCCACCTGGGTACCACACCCTGCTAGCTGGAGGCAGGAGGGGAGATGATTTCAACCAGATGGGACCAGATTCTGGGCTGGGGGCAGACTGAGGTGGTGAAAAGAAAAGGGAGGAAAGGGGGCACCTGAGCATCAGCCTCCTGCTTCCCCACCCCTCCCACCTCACCTCCACTGGCCCTCACCTCTTCCCCCCTCCCAGCACCTTGGGCAGATGAGGATGGGGTTGCCAAGGCAACACTGATTCACCACATGGAAGCTGGCAATTGTTGTTACCATGGAAACTGCCTCTTAGGGGCGAGCCTAGCTCCTGCCTTGCACAAAAGAGATATTTAAATATAATCTTCTAGAGATGGATGAGCCAAGAGAGGGAACAAGGGAGGGGGCCACGAGGAGGGAACCTGCCCCCAACACAGCACCCTCAACCCTCACCCCATTCTCATGGCCTGGGTACCTGCTCACCAACTGCGCCTTCAGCTGTGGCTGCAGAGCCTGGGTCTTCCACCTCCTACTGCAAGGCTCCTTCCCCCTCCAGGGTCAGCTTGGCAGGAGGAGGAGGTCCTGGTCTGCTCCCAGAAGCCAGGTGGGCAGCCCCCTCCTCTCCAGTCCCCCACTCAAAAGCCGAGGCTTGAAGGCCCAGCTATCCACACCCCACAGCCCCGTACCCCGCCTTACCCACCGGCCTAGAGACTCACACCAGGCTGGCTGGCATCCATGTGCTGTGGCCCGCACTGCCGGCCCTGGGCGCACAGGGGCGCATACGCAGCAAGAAAGCTGAGGCCCAGCGCCTCACTCTCTGAGCCCCACTCCCAAGGCAATCCGCCAGCCACTGGCCAGGCCCTGCCCGCCCACTGGAACCCTGAGAAGGTGTGTGGGGGGGAGGCAGGTCTCCCCATACCCCCACCTCTCCAGTCACCCCTGCCCACCCTTCTGGTTCTGCCCACCTCCTTCCAGCTTCCTCTTTCCATCTGCCCCACCAAGGTCTCTGCGGAGTGCCCTCTCTCCCTTCTCTACCTCTGGCTCCCCAGTGTTGCATCTCTTCCCTCCCTGCCCCCTCCCTTCCTCTTTTCATTTATTCAACGACATTCCCAGTGTGCCTCATACTGAGTAATGTTGCGTCCCAGGGAGGACCCCACTTGTCTGGTGGAGGGGAAGACAGAGGCAGATACAGACGCTCCCAGACTCATAGGGTCGGGGTAGGGGCAGAGGGCAGATTCAAGGGCTGGAGAGCCGAGAGCAAAGAACAGTGAAGAGCCACAGACTGTGCTGGGGCTGCACTGAAGACTCAAGAAAATCTGTGTTGGGTTTTGAAGTGAATAGGAGTTGGAGGGAGAGACTTTCTCATGTTGGAGCAATATGTACATCCACTGCCGCATTCATCTCCAAACAACTTTATGAGATGGGAACATTCCCGTTTTGTGGATGGGCAAGTCAGAAAGACAAAGAAGAAAGTCAGAATCAGAGGCTCAATCTCCTGCGGGTTTCCTCGGGGTCCTCTGGGGACCCAGCCACGCCTCTGGCCAAGCTCCTGTGGGCTGGGGCTCTGGGGGTGTCTGTGTTTGGGGGTGGGCACACATGTTAAGTGACTGGGGTCCAGTCCTTGCTCTGCCCCCCAGCTTTGGCTGAGTGACTTCAACCAAACCATACACCATTGGGAACACAGAACCCCTTAAGTCTGACCCGTGTCTATTACAGAGGAAACTGCGGCCGCTGGGGGAGGGCCTGCAGGAGGAGTCTCCAGTGGTCAGGCGGGGGCCCCGAAGAGCCTCCTGGGTTTGCAAAGTTGTGCCTTTAGAAGATGTAGGGACTCCAGGGGAAGCCCCACCTGGGTTGTTTCTGGGGGTGTGAAAGGAAGGAAGCAAGGTGGACCCCCACTCTGGGCTGCCCACGCCACCATTCCAGCCTCCTCCTCTCCCACTGGGGCCCAGACCAAGCCCTCCTCCACATCTAGATGCTGCCATGGCTCCCTACTGCCCTTGGGGTAGCATTCAGTTCTTCAACCTGGCATTCGAGCCACCTTTGCCACTCAGGCCCAGGCATTCCTCCCATGGGGCCCCCGGGGCACTGCTGTTGCACTAACTTGGCTGGAATGCACCCCTCTGCACCCCATTCTCACCTTGAAGAGAACCCCTCAAATTCCACCTCCCCCTGAAGCCTTCCTCTCACTACCTATCTGCTTT